TCCTGTCCTGCCTGAAAGCCACTGGCTCTGGAAGCCAAGGACATGTGTAGCACCTACATGGTCCCGAGCAGACTGTGCCAGGGAGCAGTGTTTGAACACTGATGCTCTCTGAGTCCACACTCTCTTTGAGACGTGCTGTGAATAGAAATCAGTGACGGTAGTTCCCATCCTGGTGCCTCCTCTATGTGACTGGCTTTACTCCAGACAGGGAACAAGAGGGAAAATGCTGGAGAGGGTCTTCCAGAGGACACAGTGACCTTGCGGTGAGACTGGCTCTCCCTGTCTGCCTCTCGTTGGCAGGAGGATTCCCATACCCTTCTGTCTCTGCTGGCAACGTGCTCCTCATGTGCTTGCCAGCCCCCATCTAGCACTGCAGGGAGGGTGGTTTTTGTCAGTGATTACAGCTTCCCAGGGGCCTCCCTCAAGGAACCTTTTCCATCCCCCACCAAAGCTTGTGCCTCCCTGTCCACCCCCAGAGCAACGCCCAGCGTGCGTTATTCTGACACAAGTCCTAGGGGTCGCTGACCTACTCACAAGTCAGTGTGCAAACACTGGCCAGCACTGGACGTTTCTGGGGAAAGTGTGTGAATACCATTACAGGTGACTGCAAAATGACTGTTTCCTACCTGTTAAGGGTATTTTATCCCCGAATACAACTCTGTGTGACTAAACGCACAGTTTATAAGCCAACGTGAGACATTCAAAGCTTGGCAAAATGGTACAGTGATGAAACAAACACTACAACAGCTCCTATGGTGATACATTACATGAAAAACAACCACCTTGGAAAAAGTGAGTGATCAATAGCTGGATTTGAAAATGGCCCAAACATTTTTTTTCTCTCTGGATGTAAGGGGTAATTCGGCTGTAAAACATCATAAAATCCTTTCACAGTTCACCTTTCAAAAAAAATTAAGCAACTCTAATAAAGGATCAGTTCCACTTTCTCCAAACTTGTACTGCTCTATTAATGCAAATTGGACCTATGGGAAAAAAGGTAATGAGGTTGGCTTAGCCCTTTTCATCTCTCAACAACTAACAGTAGTGAGGGTGATTCAGAGTTGGTAGCAGCTCCCTCTCTTCATTCCCACTGTGGTCCCACCTGCTGGCTGCAGCGCTGGGCCTTCCCCTGCTGCTGGTGCGGGACTGCGGCGTGGCCTTCACCCCATCCTGCACCCTCCCGCTGCTCCGGGGGAGCGGTGGGGACAGCTGGAAAACACGGGAGGTGAGCTGGGGCGCATGGGGAGGGCTGCTCCGCAGCGCTGCTCTCTCTCTGCAGTCAGGTTTGGTGGGGAGTGTTTGGCTGGTGCAGGGGGGATGAGAAACCCATCCTAAAACTTCCACGTCTGCTGAGGGCGGGCGACCCTCCCCTTGTGGGCTGGGGGGCGCTGAGGCCCTGCAAGTGCCTCCCCCTCCTTTGGGCTGTGCGAGGCTTGTTTACAGCAGGGTGGGAGGGGTGTGCTGGAGGAGGCAGCTCCCGTGGGGATTCGGTTCAGCCAGAACTGGTTCCTGAGGGGTGTTCCAGCCTGCACCGCCCACCCCGCAATTCCTGGCGTGCCGAGTTAGGAGAGGCTTGGTGGTGGGACCCGGGAGGCAGGCTGGCCTGTCTGTGTGCTCTAACCAAACCAAAGCTGCTGTAACAGCCTCCACCTCTGCTGCTTTGCTCCTAACCTTCCAATTCATTTCTCCTCCCTCCTCTAGGGCGTTGGAGCTCAGCCTGCTCTGCCAGGTGTGCAGACACCCCTTTGGAGGAACCCACCACGTAGCTGTGCCTCCCAAACCCTCGCCCCGGCTCCCGCGAGTCCCCTTTTCCCCGCTGACCCGCCCAGAAATTTCTCATTTCCTCCTCTCACCCTGCAATCCTGGCAGTTAGCGTTGAGATGCTGGAGGGTGATTTTTTTTATTCTATTTTTTTTTTAAAGAAGAGGAACCATCATGCATTTACTGCTCTGGCTGCAAGGGTCACAGCTCCTTCTGATTCCTGGGAGCAGCCAGGTCACTTACTCTGTTTACACCAGTGGAAAATAAGCTCAAATTCTGGCTCCTTGTCCTTAATTATCCAAGTAATCATGGTGCTAGCTGATAGCTTATCAGATTTACTGCCTCGATTCAGGGGCTGGATCCAGGCCTCCCTCTCACTTGCCGAGGTGACGGGGCGCTCAGGGCAGGGCTGGAGGCCAGCGTTAGATTTGGTTAGCGGGTGCTCTGGTGTCCCCAGTGGGATGTGACAACGTGGGAGCGGCAGACGCTGCCGAGTGTCACCGCGCGGCTGGGTGGTGCTTTGCTGCCCGGCGCCAGGGGCTGTGCCCGTGTCCCCGCTGCGGCTGCCCCGCGCCCAGCTCGTGCACAGTGGTGGGCTCTGATGACGTGCAGCTCAAGCTGGCGCTCACAGATTTGCGAGGCAAATTATTCAAATAAGTTTCTACAGCTGAGGAACCGGTGAGAGCAGGCTCCATGCGTCACCGAAACGTGGGGAGCCTGCATGCACAGCTGGTGTGAAGCCCCCAGGTGGGAGATTTAAGGGGGGCAGTGGCCTTACTGCCCCCCACAGCAGAGCAGAACCTGTCCTAGGGCCTGCAGCCCCCCCAAAACCTGGGGTTCTTGGTAGTAGGGTCCTCTTTGGTGTGGGTGGGGTAAATCGAAACTGCCCCCCACCTCCCAGCTGAACAGGCTGGTGATGGGCAGGGCACGGAGCAGCCAGGGGTGAGGAGAGGGCAGGCCGGGGGGAGCCCCCAGCCCCACGCCTCCTGGTCCTCGCCTGGCTGCCGTGAGCCCCGTGGCCACTGGCGATGGGGAGCACAAGCCCCGCTCCTTCGCCTCCAGCTGTGCAGGGCAGCCCCGGTGTTTCTGTGCCCCGTCCCTGTCCCCTTGTGGCTGGGTCCTGGGGGAGTCTTTGCCCCCCCTGTCACCCCATGCCCCCTGGATGTGCTCCCATGGCTTGGGTGCAGAGAGGGCGGGTGCTGCTCCAGGCGCAGAGCAGGGAGGGGACAAGCTGGTCCCAGTGCTGGGGGCTGAGACTGGGCACAGCTCAGTACATGGGCCACTGCAGGGAACCCACTGCCCGGCCACCCGGCCCCAGCCAATCCCCACGCACCGCCACAGGCTCCAGCCAATCCCACGCTGCCACTTGTCCCTCCCTCCCCTGTGCTGCCTCCACCAACCACAGTCAAGCAACACCCAGGCCTGACCAATCACAATCTGCCACCTGGTGCTTGCCCCCAGCCAACCACGTGCTGCCACTTGTCTCTGCTGTGTCACCAATTGCAGGGTGAGGGAGACTGCTCTGAGCCAATCCGCAGCTGCCACCTGTCCACTGGCCCAGCCAATCAGGGGCAGCCACACCTCGCTGAGGGGTATAAAGGCTGCTCAGGGCTGGGGCTAGCTCAGTGGTGGTTTTTTGACAGAGGTTTCTGCTTCTATGGCCCTGGGGGGGAATGCAGGCTTGAAGGTGGCTCTTTGTCTCATTTGGTGCCTGATGCTGCACTGGGAGTTCTGTGGGAATCCAGAATGCTACAGGGATTGCTCACCTCGGTGATGTCTTGGGATGGGGACTGGGAGCAGCAGGTCCCTCTCAGCGGGAGAGGGCTTGCAGGAGTTGTGCCGGCTGAAGGCACCACCAAGGATCTTAGAAATGGTCTCCCTGGGTGAGCTGGCCTTGTGCCAGGGGCTGCCTGCTGGGACCTGGGGAGTTCTACCTGCCTCTGCTGTGTTGAAGATGATCTTAGCTGCTGCCTGGTGACCAAGGCCAGGCTCCTTGTGAGGCTGATGTCAGGGGACTGGATGTGAAGAGTGTGTGGCTATTGTGTGCCTTCAGGCATGGTGTCCTGATGCTGGGTCCCTCACCTGGAGCTTCACACGTCATGTGTTCAGCTGTAACCTGCAGAGCAGAAGTATTGCTTGTGCTGCCCCTTGCCTGCAGATGTGACCCATGTGCTGTGGATGATCTGAATTCTGGTTGGACTCTTTTGGTCCTGGAGACCATGGAGGCGAATGGCTGAAGCTGTTCTGGGGTGTGCTAGCTGGCAGCTGACCCCTGAGGATAGCCCAGGTAGCTCCCAAATGTAGCCATCAGGAGAGCTGCAGGGTGCCTGGAAGGACTTAGGTTGTACTGATGTGTACAGGCACCTACTTTGACCAAGGGCAGCCCTTCCCAAGGACTCTGCTGTGGCTGGACCTCGGCTGGAGCGACCGCGTCCTGTGTGTGGCTGAACAACCAGGTGAACTGAGAGCAACTTACACGTGGTCAGTCTGAAATGCAACGCACCAGTGGAGTTGTGCTACCAAAGGTCACAGCTGGTGTAACCAGTGGGGCTGAGCTCATTCCCTGTGGGCAACTGGACTGGGTCTGGACCAGCTGACCTAAGTCCAGTCCTGACCTCCTGTCTGTAGTAGGTTAGGACCTGTTTCATCAGCTCAAGTTTGTCCCGCGCCAGCTGTAGCTCTCAGCCTCATCCAAAGCTCTTCTTGTTTCATCTTGACAACGTTTGTGAAATGTGGAGCACCTTGAGAGCTTGGTGGAGAACCTGCCTGTGGGGAATGCAGGACTTGGACTCCAGACTAGACACAGGATGGGGTTACTAGTGCAGTTTGTGTCTGGGCAAATAATTGGCATTGACTTAAGAGTCTGATGAGTGAAACTGCCTTCCAGGCATGACTCCTCAAGATCGAAAGCACTTCTGGTGTGTTGCTGCTGAAAATAAACACGAAGAGCTGTTCCTCTGGCAGAGCAATGGCTCAGGGTGTGAGGTGTTCAGGGGAGCAGACCCCTTGGGAGCGGGCTGGAGAAGCCTGGGGCCCTTGGCTGGTCTTGGCTCATCCCACATGGCAAAGATACTCCTAAATGCCGTTGGGAT